AGGCAAAGTACTCCGGAAAAGGCTTAGAAATAAGCATTTTAACTCAGCCTCGTTCCCATGTAGGGGCCTAATATGTCATTTTTTGACATGCGTGTAGCGCGCTTCTGGGTGGAAATTTGGGATGGCTCCATATCAGAAAATGTTTATCTTATAGAGGTTAGTCATCCTGGGAAGTTTCATGCTTTAATCACAAAATGAACAATTCTGGTTATTTTTGGTTCTTAACAGCAGGACTACAATTGTTTTCGGCTGATGAAAGACCGGAAAATAGAAAATTAAAAAAATGGTTTGGAAATTTCCGTCATTCCGTTCCGAACGGGGGAAAAGAGGACTACCTCTGGAGGTAGTCTACAATTTCCGAACGGATTTTCCAAAAAATTACTGTTCGATTTGACTTTCAACCGAAATTTCCGGATTTTTTTGGCTAAATGGTGAGCACCCTTCAGCTCAAAATCTGGATGTCAGGGTACGTTAGCTCAACCAATCAGATTGCAGCATTTGCAATCAGCATTAGTATACAAGTAAAAATTCTACCAAACAGGATAGAGACATGGGAAATGTTTTCTCTCTCTTACATGCAAGTTTCCACTTTCAGCAATAAATAAAGAACTAATAGTAGGAAAAGCAGGAAAAGGCAATTCCCTGGAACAGTGCTACTCGCCTTTAACATACCCTGGTTAAAAACCAACCAAATGAGAAAGATCTGTGTTCTCAAATATCTGTTACGCTTTGAAAACCACGAAAGAAAGCTGAGCATTTCAAGTTTCCAACGAGGTTTCTGACGACAGTGTGTGAAGTAGATTGTTCCCATAGAATTCCAAGGAAGCTGTATTCAAGATAGCCTCCTACTTAGAAATTCATTAACTGGGAACCCAGGAATTTCCACCGTGGTTCGCTCATCGGAAATTAAAAATTCTTGGATTTTCTGGAAGCTTTCCTGAAGAAAGTTCCTTACGTTTTGTCCCCGTTTCAAAAGTTTCAGAATTTTTTGGAGTGGAAAACTCCCATAGTTTCCAGTATTTTTCCTCAGCCATTCACTATCAAACACCATGAAAGTCAAACGCCTGTCGCACAGTTTTATTTATAATTCTTGAACTAATTAGTCTTCATAACACGGTTACAACCACTTTTACCACTGGACTAAAATCCACCGAAGTAGAACAGAAATTAAAATTATTGTGAAATTTCGCTAAAATAAATTAAGAGGGCGTTCTTCATGTATAGACTAGAAATGAGAAAACATTGCTTATAAATCAATTGCGAGTCAACTTATTTTGCGTGACGTCAGCACATGAAGGAGAAGCTAGCTTAACTAAGACCCAGTTGAAATAAAATTCTTCTGATTAAAATTCAGTCATGTCATCTGCGAGGCCATTTCTTCTTCTGACTTGTTTGCCTACAAAAAACAGAGTAACGTGCTGTCTTAAAACGTATTTCGTATTTGTTTCACTTTTGTCTACTTCGCAACTTTCGGGACTTGCGTTAGACTTTGAGTAAGTTCGGAATGTCGCATCAAAACATCGTCGCCAGTCCTCATTCAATGGACACTTTGAATAGATGAGGCCTAAATTTGAATTACAATACTTTATACATCCTTAGACTCGTGTTTATGTTTCTAGACAAAGAATTTTTCACATGAACGTGAGGCTTAGGATGTACAAGTACAATGGAACCTTGTTAATACGGTCACCAACGGGCCAATAATATTTTGGCCGTTTTAACTGGGTAGAGTCAAATTTCATGACTGGTCCAAATTGAGTAACGTCTTAACAGGAGCTAACAAATACATCACAATTGCACTTCTAAACAACTGTTCTTTAATAAGCATCCAGAATGCAGCTATAATTTTTAAAAATTGAAACTTCTATCTCTACATACAATATTAAGAACGGAAAGATGACCATAACTGGTTTAAGTGGCCATATAAACAGGGTAAAATTGTAAGGGATTACACAGGTTGGGATTTCAGAATGTGGCCGTTGGCCGTATTAACGGGGTGGCCGCATTAACGGAGTTTTCCTATAAGAAAATGTATGGGCGTTTGGCCGGGACAAAAAAGTGGCTGTAATAACGAGGTGACCGCGGGCGGGGTTCCACTGTACTGTTACTCTAACGGTATATACTGAGAAGGAAATGACTTGGAACGTTGTTACGAGAATAGAGAAAGTAATCTACTTTTCACATGAACTGTTTAAAGGCTACAAACTCTGTGTGAAAGATATAGTATGTCTTGTCAAAGGAAATCTAACTGACACAGGCGTTTGCTAAAACGTGTTCCGCACTTTATAGGTTGAGCAAAGGTCGCAATAGATGTGTTTACTAACACTTATCATTACAAAATACTCTTGCTCTTTTACTAAGTGTGAATGCACTCTTCGATATCACTTTTCTCTGGGTTTTCTCCCCTCTTGGCTGATAACTTGACCATCTGCACTTTACATCGTGCCGTTCACACTGAGATAATAATAGTCGCTAACAACTTACTTGTTTGAGGAAAACGTTAGACTTTTCTGTCCAGATTTCATGTGTACTTTAGACCGTGGCCCTGCTGACTGTTACAAAAAGATCACGGGAGAAACTGAGTATATGCACAGTTTGTTAGTAACATAAGGTAAAGTTTCAATACGAGCCAAGTGGTCCATCAGGCCGGAACTTATCCCGGTTTCTGTAGCATGAAGCAACTAGGGATATTTCTACTCCCTCCCCCACTCTGGATGGAATCCTAGTCCATCGCAGGGTTACCCCCAGCTTTAAATTCGCCAGTACCCATTTATACACCTGGGTGGAGCGAGGCACTGTGAGAGTAAAGTGTCTTGCCCAAGAACACATCACAATGTCCCCGACCAGGGCTCGAACCTGGACCGCTCGATCCGGGATCGAGCGCACTAACCATGAGGCCATTACACCTTCACCACAGTTTGTTGAGTGAGCAACAAAGACTGCAGGTCAGGACTGGCCAACACTACACCAGTAGTGGTGTTAGTTTTGTTGACAAGCCAGTTGGCCACCGTCGGTGGCTAACTGGATACACTTATATCTTTTGCATATTTCCAACTGGGTTTCCTTCTGTACATTCTTATCTACCGACAACACTAATTTCAAAAAAATATCTAAGATAGCACACCTGCTCTCACCGGTCAATAGGTGTGCTAAGATGAGATTATGTATAAACAAGGTTGTCGAATTATTTTTGAGAAATATTCCAAAAGAGCAATGGATAAGGTTTTTCTGTGTTTACATAACCTCATCTAAACACTCGGGGGTTTGGAGAATTCTTGCAAGTTATGCAGACCCTCGACTGCATGTCGGGATCTGGTAAAGAAAACTGGTGCTTACTTTGGAGTCACGTGATGAGCTATAAGGATTAAAAACAACTGTCTTGTCTTTGGTCTCTTTCTCTTTATCACCTGTTAATAAACACACACTTAATTGATATTTCATTACAATAATCCTGGCGTTCTCGGGTTTTGGCAATCAAAATTCACTGCCACTCCAATAACCGTCTCATGCTAATGCTTAATATGCATTATTAATAACCTTTAGGTTTCTCAAGGACGTAACTACTTACTTGTATTTAAATGTTCCTCTAAAACTTAAGAAAAACGGGAAAATGTAGTCACCTACAGCTATTGCGCAATGGCTGTTAGCCCACTATAGCTTAACCAATCAGATTACAGCATTTGCATTACTATACCAGTAGAATTCTAGTAATACAGGTTAGTGAATTTTCTTGTTGTACTTTCTTACCAGTGAATGTTGAATAATCCACATCGGAGTAGTTGAACGGCACAAAAGCTCTGCCAGGTTGCGTGCTTGATTCTTCCTCTTCACCTCCATTTTTAGAAGTGCCTGGTGAGGTTTTTCTTTTCTTTGAAGCAGACTTTCCAGTCTGGCCATGTAAACAAAATTAGAACAACAAGAATTTAAACACCGAGAGACAACACAACCATCGAGAAATAAAACACTTTTTTTTACTCTAAGCGAAAAATGTAGAAAACCAGCACGTCACACTCACTCTATTTCTCAACGGTGTTAAATCTTCTGATGTTTCCTCGCTATCTGAATGATGTCTTTTATGTCCAGCATTTGGTTCTACAATAAACAAGCAACAAGAACAAATAGAACGTTCAGAATGACTCGAAAGCTGAAGAAAAACGATAATTGAGACAAATGATAGTACATGTAGAAAAAACATATTCTTTTGGTATTCACCATTCTCTCCTTCAAATCTTAAAAGGCAGTTCGTTACCTGATGCTGAAGGAGAAGTATTTAGCTGTGTCGCTTGTCTCCATTGCTGATTAATCTATAACGAGAACAAAGAAAGAGAAATGACATGACACTACGGTAATTGTGGTGGTAGGGGTTGGGCGTAGGGAGTGAGCTTGCGAAGGTGTGAGCGTACTTGTTATCTAGAATTTGAAAACCACGATCATAAGATTATTAATTTGTTGATTCGGCTTCCTTGGACTTGCAGTGATGACGATTTTTGGTGGTTCTCTTGGAAGGGGGTTAACTAATGAGCTCAAGTTTCCTGGGTAAAAAAAAAATGGATCGTAGCTAGTGAGCTCGTAGTACATACTCTTCCCTGGAAGAACAGCACGATTTTTTTAACTTGTCCTCCTCAACCATCACATGTTCTTCGTGTAACAGACGTCACAATGTTTTATGAAGCCCTTCTGGGTTCTCCGACGTATGATATAAAAAACTTTCAATGCTTTGGGAGTAGCTACATAATACCCCAACATTTGAGAGTCATTTCAGAGAAAATCTACATGTGCAGGTGGGTTGCACTAAATCAGGCACGTAGTCGGAAAAAAAAAATCCCTGAAGTTAATATGCAGGTTATTGCTCTATAAAAGCACCTCTAAATTGAAAAAAGAGAGAACACGGACCCTGTGTACTTGCTCATGATTTTGAAGTTCATCTACAGTGGTTGTGCCTTCTGTCGTCTCTGAGTGACTTTTCACCGGAAGGAACTAAAAGAAAATCCACAGCGTCAGTCAAGCAAGTATTACTGTCGAGAATACTACGCAAATGCAAAATACATACTGCATATATTCACTTCTTTAGTTCTGTCGACTTTGCTTGAGCCAAGAAACTGTTGAAAAAGCCATAAAAAATACAATAAAGTGATAGTAACTAACTTTTTGAAATGGGTTCTCAAAAGAAGCCTTGATTTTTTCCGCTTTCTTCTGTCCATCAGTAAGTTGTTCATCATTAGAAATCTGAAACAATATGGAGCAGTAGCTAAGTATATACAGTATATGTAAGTCTGGATGGTTGTTAAATCATTAACATCTCAAAACTGAAGGTGGCATGGCTAAGAAATCAGAGTTCCGAGGCCAGATTCATGATGTTCTCCTAAAGTAAGATGCATCTTAAGTATCGCTTTTGTACTCAAATAATACTAACAACACATGTCAATGTAACAGGGCTTCTGTGACACTAGCTGTGGTCTGCCACAGTCCCCAGTTCAACTCACAGCTGTACTAATGTAACTTGCCAGGTAGTCAGCACGTAACAAATAGGACACTAAACAAACTTATGTTTGGTTCGCAATGTTGATCTGGTGAGGTGACAGAATCTTCGATGTGTAAAGACATCAACAACCTTTCAGTTTCTCTCTATTCTGTATTCATTTCCAAACCACGGTACAGTGATACCGAAGTAGTGATCGATTCGAAGTACTTTCTTTGATAATTTCTTAGCATACTTTTTCTTGAAAATTTGAGTGCATTTCAAAACTGTAATCCAATAAGATAAGGAGATTCAAACAGAAGAGCATTTTTTCAAACAATGTTTTTCTATTGCCATGTTAGAGTATAAATTATGCTGTCATTATAAATCCTACTGTCTCTCTTGAGGGTGTTCTTTTCCGGGTTTATAGAACAACATTAGCAACTGTGTCAGGGGTATGGGTGCGGTTAATTGAACTCCTAAATTTTTGCAAACGGCTGCCGTGATTATAACAAGATAATAATACCTCAAATAGTAATATAGCTGGGCTTGCTTTAGGTACAGGAGGTCCTGATACAATAACATGACCAAACGAACTTGGCGAGGCTGCACTAACAAGTAAGGAATCTCCTGAAGAGATAAAAAAATGAAGGAGGAAGTCCATGCATGGGTCTACACAGGTGTAGAAGTAATGTAGCTACAGGTAAAAGATAAATGAAAGGTGGATTCCTACACACGAGAAAAAAACAAAAACAACAACAACAACAACAACAAACAGGCAAATAGCATAGTTATAAAACCGGAATCTAGAGTTACATTCATTAACATTGTTAGTCCCAGGAAATGATAAGGATGACACAGCAAAACAATAAATGCAGTAACTACAGAGACCTAAGCCTCACCATTAACAAGTAAGTGATTTGATTTTGAGTCTGGATCGATCAGTGGCGGCCGAGAGAGAGTTGTACTTGTCTATTAAAAGAAGAAGAAGAAAAAAAATAAAAACCACAAAACAGTGACGATACGGTATGAGTAACTCTCAGTACACCATTTGCTTACAAATTATGCCCGCATAGGACTGTTTCTGTATTCCTTAGTACACATTACAGGCCTACTAAGCTGACCGACACCCCCTTGGCACTTTATCACAGTTTGAAAACTATTTAATGAAAATCAATTGAAATGTCACATCAACAGGACATGTTATTCCTGAAGTACTACAATTGCACACGTTGTTCTTACCGAGGCACTGTGTTCTGTAGTGTTTCCTGAGTCAACTTCTGATGTAGCACCCACAGACGAAGAGCTCTGCAATTATAGTTCAGTAAAACATAAACTTGCTGCTGTACATGCTATGTCCCAATTGAAAATTATTCATGAATATTTCAAGGCATAACACTCAAAAATAAAGGTAACTACATTTGAAATATTTCATAGTCTGATTTCCAAGACCTTACAAACTACATGTACAAGTAAAGCATTGAACCTAGCTATGCACAGATGCTGACCCTTCAGCAATGATGATCAATCTGAAATACTGCAGAGCTTACTAGTAACAAAACAGCCATTTGAAAATTTTGAGAGGCTAAAGACAAAGGCACTGGGGAGGAGATGTATCCTTTAAAGTCATTATCACTATCAAACTCATTATCAACCCCCCCCAAGTTTGTTATCATAATTAATTAGTTTTACTAAGGTCTGTAATTTGAATTTCCTGAAACATTTTCCCAGAAAACTTCACTTGCCCATCTGGCAAGCACAGGACTGAACCCAATAATCCAGCTGCAAAGTTCACCAGTTTCAGGCTATTGCATGGAACCTTCTTTGCACAACGAGTGAAAGTAGAGCTAAGGATCCTAGCCAGGATCAAGCTGTGGGTCTCCACACAGCCGATTCTGCCAATTATTTTAATTAATAAAGGACTGTATGTCACAGATATATGCAAACCTTGTTTGCAGCAAGTGCCAGTTCTTTTGCTTGCAAAATCAGCAGGTGGATTTCATGCACATACTGCTTAACAAGTGTGGGAACTGGATTACAACAAGCCAGAACACCTTGGGCCTCCCTGAAAATAGCAACAGCACAACAATTTTATTGTTTGCAGTTACATGGGTGAAAGACAAGGGGCAAAGTGCAGACTCACTGCTTCAGAAGTCATATTGAGGAATATCTTTTCATACATCCTGTTGTTTTTTTTCTTTGCTACACATAAACTTGACATGTCAGGACATGTACTCTAGGGGAAGTTATCTATCTTAGATTTGCAGTATTTAAAATATAACTGCTAAAATAACTATTGCTGAGTTATTTTGCATATTTATGGACAGGGACTCTTAATTAGTACAAAATTTAATTCATGTAGTGTTTTTTTCCCATTTAACAACAACTCGCTCTCTAACAATATTGTATGGACAAAAATAACAAGACAAATCTGGCAGTAAATGAGACCATGGACACTGGGTGCTCCCCGGGATAGCAACGAGAGTGGGTGGTAGCGACACACCTGGACAGATAATTGGGTGGTTAGTGGACTCAAACCTCAAAGCATAAACACAACGTGGGGCGGTTAGCGGACACAAACCCCAAAGCAGAAACTTGGGCGGTTGGCAGACACACCCAGTGAATGAATTGGGGTGATAGCGCACTCACCCAGAGAATGAAGCCCCCCAACCTAGCTGCTTAGGTAGGTACCGGTAAGAATAAGCTGGGGTAAGGGACCCACCCAGCCTGACGCAGGCGATAGCTAAGTGGAAGGTGTGCACCCAGGCCAGTAGTCCAAGTTTATTTATAGGGGGGTAGAGGAGGGAAAGGAAACAGTGTAAACTAGCCAAGAAAAAAAAGCTGACGTGCCTATCGTGCTAATTGTACAAAGACTGGTGTAGCATAACATGTTCATGAGTACTGTTTGTTGAGACCGGATATGCAGCAGATAGTAAAACTGATAACATAAGACAAGCATACAATAGTAATGGATAGGATTAATACCTCTGACATGAGCCTTAATTGTTGATAAGGATACCGAGACAACATAGCTAGTAGTGTCCATTGTTTATGGTATCAAGTTCCTTGGCAAGTTTGTAATGCACTTACACAATAACAGAATAGCATGTCTGTAGCTGAGACATATCGATGGACAGTAATAATAAGCTCTTGTGGTTAACTATACTTTACAAGTAAAGTTTACAGATTTCAAGCAATGTCTTTGTTCAAACGTCAAGCACACTGGTAATGATTGGTTTATACTCTGCTTAGGTGATACTGGATATAGTGCTGTTCAAAGAATTGCCAATTTCCCTGGTCAGAAGGTAAGAATGTCAAAGTACATGCTACAACTTTTAAATTATTACTGATTGGTGGAAATAGTACGTGTAAATCTAAGACTCTGTGAGATGAAAAAAACTAACGTCTTTACTGAGTTACCTACACTCTTTACTGCGTTACGTAATCTGAGAGTACAATTTCACAAGGCACATTACAAATTAGTCGAGGTTATGATATCAAGTATACAAACCTTGGCATGGTTTCTGCAATCTGGAACATCATGTGGTTTGGAAGAACAAAGCTGAAAAAGAGCAATAAATGAATCGTCTTAAAGAAAAACTATCGAAACTGAAAATGAATCGGCTTCTTAATTGTCATGACATAACACCAACACATTAATACAGTGTACTTTCTTGCCTGATCAAAGACAAATAAAACTAATTTATGTACGTGTAAATGTATTCTAATTTCAGTAGACTTACAGTTTTCTTTAAGCAACAGACTGAATATCTGTATAGCATCTTCAGGACAGTGAACCACTTAACATATTAAATAACAAAAGAAGGTTTTGAAAACAACAGGCAGATCAGAAGGCGAGTAATTTGCAATCTTTTTTAATTATTTCCCTAAGACTGAGAGGGATTATTTCTTGCATTGATGCGCTACTACACAGGAGACATGGACACTGTTATCTACAAATCCATGACTTCCCCATCACCTCTCACAACAACAAAAAAAACATAAGTGGTATCTAGTCTCCTTGGACTCAGAATTAATTTTTGTTTAGCATATATTTTCCACAACCAGAAACGGATCTGCATTCATGAGGTGTGCTGGAAAAGTAACTCAAAAAATTAACATTATGGATATGTATGTGTCTGCATTTGGCATAAATGTTGAAAACTATTTTTTGCTTGATACAATGTATAATCGACCTTCTGACCTTCCATTGAACAGTGGTGCTGAGTTAAAGTCGGAGTGGACAAAAACATAAGCGTGAAAATCCCTTCCCTCTTTTCATGGTGGTGTTGTTTACACGCAGCAAAGTGAAATGCAGGAAAAGTCTGAACAGAGATGAGAGAATGCATTGAAGTATTAAATCTCACCCAGCACTTTCATCTTCCTCCCGTGCAATATTGTCTCTCCAAGCATAAAGAAGGCGAAATGCGCAAATCTGTGAAAAAATCAATTACCGGTACTTTTTATAGCAGAATTAATTAGCACAATGAATAAAATTTTGTATCAAATATCAAGACACTGAAGAGTGTGAGGGACGAAGATGTACTTTGGTCTGGCAGAGTGAAAGTGAATTCTTGTTTTGTTTAACACACATAAATTCACCTTTTAAGTTTACTTGTGGGTAATCTTAGATCATCCAAAGCGTTGTTTAAGGTCACAGAAATGATAGAGCTTATGACAGGTCAGTTGGTTTTGAAAATTTTTTTTGAAATCTAAAACGCAAACGGAGAATAATATTCTAATATCCTGAGTCTACATGTGAGGCAACACTAGCAAACTGTACAGGTTGATGTTAAATAAATTTAACAGACTGAAATATAAGTATATTACACTTGCACATATATTCATACAAGTACTCATACTTATACGTGTAATACTTGTACTGTTTAGTTATTTTGCATACTGTACGAACTCTCATGATTTGATAGCACAGTGAAGACAGTTTCAGAATCTATCATACATGTATTCACTTATGATTCTTCACTCTGTTCTGGCAATGCTATGACCATATCAGATTGACTCTACATACAGTGGCTTGCTATCACCTTATTTCTAATACAGTTTAGTCAAGATGTTGAAAGTCAGGATGCCAAATAAATTACTGTTTTATAATGCTGATTATACATTTCTAAAAACAGACAGCACCATAAGAGAGTGTCTGAAGACACTTGACTGCAAAGGGCTGGGTAACAAGTAGAGAGATTTTTCATGGCAGCCATGTTGCATGGCAGGAACAATAGATTCTTTTTCCTATGGGAAAAAATGTTCTTTCTAATGTAAAACATTTTCATTGTTCCTACCATGCAACATGGCTACCATGCAACATGGCTACCATGCAAAACCTCTAAAGCATCCCTAGTAATACAAAATAAATTGTCTTATTTTTCAAATATAGATAAGAAGGAAAAGCACCTGTTCAGTGTTAAATGTCTGTTTGTGTTTTTCCAATACTTTTTGAAAAGATACACTGGTAAATAGTGGCTTCTCGTATCGCTGAAAGAAGAGATAGAAAGATAACAAAAACAAATCAACAAAAGTATCACAAGAGACCTTACTCTGGAACAGTTTTCTGACAGTGATACAATAATAAATCTGTTTTAGACCAACAGGTTTTGGACTATTTGTAATATTTATAAACTATAAACTTTGCAGAAAAGTCCTGTAATCAGCTTTCTAAATCGATAATGGTTTAAAGGGGCACTATTTTGAGCATGGCATCATAAGTCAAAAACAAACAGGCCTAGTTTGATCAACAGAAAGCTAAAACTAATGATCTAGTTTTGAATTTAAAGTTTGGCAGACTTTTTCAAATTTTGTCATGATGTCTTGAAAATGTCCTGCAAAACAAATTAAAATTTGCTTGTGCTTCCACAGTTCAGTCACATCTTTATTTTGGTGTTCTAGAAGTATTTTGTGTACTCTTCTATCCAAAGATACAACAAAGTCACTATAATAGTGCCCCTTAAACTAATCCTGTTTGGTCTGTATTAATGACACATTAAAAAAGAACCATGTGTAGTAAAAGTAACATTCTGGGTCTCTATTAGGTGAAATTCTTTCATTCATTCATTCATTTCTAGGAGATGACTATCAAGGTGCGATTTTAAGCTGCACTTTGAGTTATGGTCCCGAGTCAGAATTTCAAATCAGGATTTTGAGCCAGGATTTTAAGATAAGTTACCCTAAGTCAGAATGTTGATGTAGGACTATTTTTTGTATGTGGATAGAATCCTTGTTACTATGACATTCAGAAAATGTTTAAACTAAAGATAAATCATAATAAATTAACATAACCATTTTACAATAACCATTAATATTTTTGGGGTAACCGCTGTCCACTTTATGGATATATAGATGTATATATAGCATTGAAGCCCTAAGCAACAAAATAATGAAATCTAACCACAAGCAAAACAGAGTGAAAGGTTACTGCAAGCAAGTTGGATTGAAAGTTAAACTCAACCAAGTTGGCTTCTGCTTGAAATCGACTCATGACCATGACTCAAGATCAAACTTGAAATCCAATGTGAAATGTCTGAAATCTTGCCTTGAAGAATACTGGTAGGTATACTCAGTTTTCAGGATTTTGGTTAGAACGTTATCTCATTAACAAGGTAAAGTCTGCATATGAGCCAAGAAGCTCATCAGACCGAGGCTTATCCTGGTTTCTGTAGCATGAAGCGACTAGGAGTATTTCTTCTCTAGACTGGATGGGATGCTAGTCCATTGCAGGGTTACCCCCAGCACTAAGCTCGCCGCTACCCACTTATACACCTGGGTGAAGAGAGGCACTGCGAGGGTAAAGTGTCTGACCCAAGAACACAATGC